AGAATGATCAGAATTCTCTATCTGATCTGGGACGTTTCACAAACCAAAAATTAGTATATAGTCTTCCTCCAAAAAAATGTAGCCCTCTTTGAGAATAAGCCCTTTCCTTTAGTTGCCATCCCTTGCTCAAACTTTGCCAAAAACAACGGACTAAAGATGTTCACTCAGCCGAAACCGGTTTGGCTCAGTGGATAGAGCGTCGGCCTGCGGACTGAGGGGTCCTGGGTTCGATTCCGGTCAAGGGCATGTATCTGGGTTGCGGGCACATCCCCAGTGGGAGATGTGCAGGGGGCAGCTGATCGATGTTTCTCTCTCATCGATGTTTCTAACTCTCTATCTCTCTCCCTTCCTCTCTGTGAAAAATCAATAAAATATATTTAAAAAAAAAAAAGATGTTCACTCAAAAACAAAAGGGTTGGGAGAATATGGGAAGACAGAGAGGCATTCAAGTAAAATGCTTCTATATCAATTTTTCTTAAACCTGCCCACCTTCGTTAGAATTATCTGGCTCCATCTCAGACGAATTAAATCAGAATAGATGATGGTGGGTCTAGCCATGGCTATTTTTAAAAAGTTCCTTAGGTAATTTTACTCTAAGTCAGGTTACAAAAGCACCACTAAATGTAAAGGTACTAGGAAAGGGATGCTCAAGTCAGTGCTATTAAGTAAGTCCTATTTTTGATGTTGTACTAAGGCAGTGGTCGGCAAACCACGGCTCACGAGCCACATGCAAGAGAAATAGAACCTGGGGATCGAGTCCGCAACCCGAGCATGTGCCCTGACCGGGAATCTAACCTTGACCTCCTGGTACATAGGTCGATGCTCAACTACTGAGCCACACTGGCTGGGCTCCTTTTCAGGTTTAACTGATGGAGGTCGAACCCTCAGATTGAGGACGTTTTTAGTAAAGGCCAGCTTAGGAGTACCCTAATTAAGTTAATAACAATGTACCTACCTATATAGTTTAAGTTTGAAAAATTTGGCTCTCAAAAGAAATTTCAATCGCTGTACTGTTGATATTTGGCTCTGTTGACTAATGAGTTTGCCGACCACTGTACTAAGGGAATCAAAAGATAAAGGGCCCAGCCGATGTGGCTCAGCGGTTGAGCATGGACCCATGAACAAGGAGGTCACAGTTCGATTCCTGGTCAGGGCTCATGCCTAGGTTTCGGGCTCGATTCCCAGTAGGGGGGCATGCAGGAGGCATCCGATTGATGATTCTCTCTCATCATTGAGGTTTCCATCTCTCTCCCTCTCCCTTCCTCTCTGAAATCAATAAAAAATATTAAAAAAAGATAAAGAAAAAGATAACATTTAAGTTGCTAACCTACAATTAAAGTAAATTATATTTCACTTTCTACCTGAAAATAGATTAATTTTTGAATTATAAAACCAACAGTCCTAACTATGCAACCAATTTGTTTAAAAAATTAACACTGTAAAATTTATTTTTCTTCCTCACATCTAAAAAACTACTATAATCTTGCCACAAGTAAGAAAGATTCTATCATCAAAACTGTTAAACAGAAAACCACAGGCCCCAAATGGTATCACTCTTGATGAAAGCCAATGATATCAAACCTAGATTGACTACCTAATTCTTTTTTGTGTTTTTGTTAATCCTTACCAGAGGATACCTTTTTCCATTGACTTTTAGAAAGAGTGGAAGGGAGGTAGGAAAATGAGAAAGAAAGAGAGAAACATCAATGTGAGAGAAAATCATTGATTGGTTGACTCCAGCACGTACCCTAACTGGGGCTCAGTATCAAATCCACGAACCTTCTGTGCTCAGGCTACCGCTCTATCCAACGAGAAACAATGGACAATGGCTAATACCTGATTCTAAAAGCAGTTTCAGCCTCTTCCAGAATCATAATCTTAAGCAGTCTGGAATTGATTTTTTAAAATATATTTTTATTTATTTCAGAGAGGGAAAGAGAAATAGAACCTGGGGATCGAGTCCGCCACCCGAGCATGTGCCCTGACCGGGAATCTAACCTTGACCTCCTGGTTCATAAGTCGTCACTCAACCACTGAGGCACTCGGGCTGGGCCATCTGGAATTTCTTATCTGTCTGAAAAGACCCCCCTTTAGAGGAAGGTGTCCTAGCCTGAAATCATTCACTTTTAATTTCTTTGTTCCATCTTCATTCTGCCTATAAAAACTAAAAGTTGATGGAAATGTCATTATGCAATGCATGCCTATAGTTAACTAGTTGAGTGCAAGGAAAGTGCTGCAGCCATGCAGAGGAACACAGTAAATGCAAAGGTATTTAATTGGGGGATGGTGGAGGGAGAGGGGAGGAATTAAAGCATTACAGGAACTGAGAAAAGATGAATATAACTAGGGCATACAGAGAAGGGAGCAAGAGGAAGAATAGCTCATAATGAGGTTAGAGAGGTAGGCAGATTCAAGAACACATTGGACCCTCCAGATGATGTTACAGGTTTGAACTTCATCCTCAAAACAACGGGAAATCACAGTGTTTTTAAACAAAGGAGTGCTGATCTTTTTGCAAACTGATTTGAACACAGCTAAAATTTTGCTCATGTAAAAGTGAAATGCTTTGCCTCTGACTCCATCTTGTTCAAGCCTGCGTTGTTTCTGTGACCTTCAGGATAACAGCTCCTGCTTAGTCTTGCCTTTCAAAGCTTTGGGGCACTTTGGACTGGTAACACAAGCTCTGACCTATAAAGAATGCCCTGACCAGCATGTCAAGAAACTTGGAAGTAATGTTCTTAAAGAGATGATAGGATCATCAAGCTATCACAGCTTGATCACATCAATCATTAAGAGTATTCTTGCTTTACTTGAATTCCATTTTTACTAAAGCAAGATTTGGATTGTACTTTAGTTTCCATGTAGTGCTTCCTATGTGGAAGACACTATGCTGGCTGGTCATGCTAACTACATTTAAAACCATTTGACACTTCACATATCTCGTTGGAAATTAGTTTATCAGTTTAGCATGAGTAACTACACACCCTATTTAATGGATATTTAAAGTTTTGTCTGTCCCAAAAGCACTCCCCATCTTCTGTGGAAATGTCTACCAATGATAAACTTCACTATCCTAGCCAAGGAAGCAGGTACATGACCTAGCCTGGGCCCTTCATTATATTTACCACTTTCTGGATGTAGTGACTGATCCAAAGGATGGGCACATGACCCAAGCTGGGCCAGGCCTCTAGATTTTAAACATTGAAGCTTGGAGAGAAGTGCTTTTATTCCTCAATGTGTAGGCCTCGGAGAAGTCGATGGCCAAACTCCATGCTAGTGACAGAGCCCAAGGAAAAGCAGAGACACTGTGAGAAAGTAGGGACAAGCACTGATGAGAGGCAGTGGCAGCTCTGATGCACTATAATACTGTCTAGTCAGGACCCTAAGATTAGCTGCACCTCTAACTTTCTGGATTCAGTTACTTCATGTCTTTTTGCTTAAGCTAGTCTGATTTTGCAAGAAAAAGAGAAGAAACATCTAATGTTATGAAATAAGGAATTAACTGGCTTTCAGTAGGTAGTATCTGTTATCATTATCTACTAGACTTTAAACATTACTTCTGTCCCACACAGAGAACAAGAAAGCTATATTTCCAGTAAGATTTTATAATTTTTGCAGGAATAACATATATTATATACACAATAAAAGAGTAAATTAAAATCTGTAAACATTTTAAACTGGAAATTTTAGGATTAGAGCAGGGAAGAATTGAGGTCCTCACTGTCTTGTGCTACTCTGTTACCATGGACTTATTCTCAGTAAACTGCAATATCTTCACCTGAAAACTGGGGATGCTTTACATTATTCCTAAATTTGCTTCCAGTGCTGAAATGACTGAGTACTTATGAAGATATAAAAACATACTCCTCATTTACACTATTCCATATTAAACAAAGACAAAAGTTAAATTCATTTTTAAACATAAATTCAACTCCCCCCCCCCCCCCCCCCCCCCCCCCCCCCCCCCCCCCCCCCCCCCCCCCTCCCCCCCCCCCCCCCCCCCCCCCCCCCCCCCCCCCCC